GCCCTGACTGATTTTTGTGTGGGTCAGCGGCCCTCCCTCCAGATGCCCCCTCTACACAGAGGCAGGGCACATCTCCCCTCCCCCCCACCACCACACTATAGGCAGCACAAGGGCTGGGGTACAGTCCTGGGCCAGCTCACACTCCTGGGGATAGCAGGACGTGATGGTGCAGAGACCTGCCGTCCTCGCCTTACAGAGGGGGGCTGGGTTTCACCCACTGTGTCCCCAGGGAGAACTGACCACTTCTCTTGTTTCACCACAGCTGCACCACCTGCGAGTGCAGGGTGCATCACCCCACCTGGAGCATCCACCCACACCCGGGCCAGCAGGCATACCTGCAACCAGAAGAAGTGCCAGCGGAAGTACCTGGGGCTACTGGGAAGGAAGGTCCACAGCCAGGAGCACTGGGTGCAAGAAGACCTGCAGCAATGGTGCCCTCCAAGAGCACCTGCAGGCCCTGGTGGACCAATTGCTGCCTCCTGCTGTTCCAGCCCCTGCGGCCGCCCTAGCTATCGCTCCTCCTCCCACCCCTGCTCCCTCTCCCGCTTCTTCCGCCCCCCCATCCCTCCTGTCCCACCCTCCATACCCACTCCTCCACTGTGAAAACCTTCTTCTGCCCCCCGCATCCTTCCTGCCCCACCCTCCATACCCACTCCCTCCTGGGGACGCCAAGGCCTCTGCACTCATAGTGCTGCAAGATGGGAGGGCTGGCAAGACCCCCAACCCTGAGCTTCACCTCCCACTTCCTCCCCTTGCCTCCTCTTTCCAGCTCCCTCCTCCAAGCTTTCCTCCTTCCCCTCTCCTGCTCTCATTTTCCCCCTCCCTCCACCCCAGTTACGTTAAATAAAGAGAATTTTTTGTGGCAACACAGGTGTTTTTATTGTACATCAGGAAGGGGGGTTAGGGAGGGGAAAGGGGAAGGAGGTGAGGGTGGAATGTAAGGCACGAGGACCCAGTGGGGTACGCTAGGGCAACTTCAGTCCTCATCCACCTGGAAGCTCTCCCGCAGGGCTTCCCGGATGCTGACAGCCCCCCCAAAGGGCCTCCCGGCTGGCAGCCATGCGGGGCTGTGCATACTGGCCAGCCAGGTGGTCAGCTCTGCCATCCAGGCTGGCAGGAAAGCCTCCCCTTCCTCTCACAAAAATTGTGGAGCACACAGCACGCTGCCACCACATGCAGAATATTGTGCTGAGAGAGGTCGAGGTGGGTGAGGAGGCATCTAAATCAGGCTTTCAGTCAGCCAAAGGCCCCCTCGACCAGCATTGAAGACCTGCCAGGAGGGGTTGAGGTGTCCCGTGTAGGGCTTCATGAGTCAGGGCTGTAGTTGGCAGGCCGCATCCCCCAGCAGGCACACAGGCATGTCCACGTCCCAGACCCTGATGTGGCGATCAGGGAAGAAGGTCCTGGCGTGCAGCCTCTGGCATATGGAGGAGTTGCGGTACACCTGCACGTCATGTGCCTTGCTGGACCAGCCCACATTGATGTCCATGAACTGGCCCTGGTAGTCAGACACGGCCTGCAGCATCATGGAGAAGTACCCCTTCCTGTTGATATAGAGGGAGTCCTGGTGTTCCGGGGCATGGATGGGGATGTGCGTCTCGTCGATGGCCCTCCCGCAGTTGGGGAAGCCCAGGGTGCCGAACTCCTAGATGACTGCATCCAGGTCAGTGAGGCGGACGCCTCTGCGGGGGCAGTACCCTGTTGATGGCCTTGACCACCTGCAAAGAGACACACAAAACCGAGGGTCACTGGGGTGCCCGGGTTGCTGGGAGTGTTCGTTCCCCACCACTGCCCCGCGTCCCACTCCCAGGAGCAACTCCCACTGCAGTCCTGGCCACTGCAGGTGGTCTGTAGTGCAGCTGGGACAGACTGAACCCTCCCAGGGAGGGCACTTACACCACCTCCCCCCCTGTTTTCCCTGGGGCAACCCATCTCCTCCTTCCAGCCCCCACTCCTGGCCAAGTGGCCTGTGAGTGCCGTACCTGCATGAGCACCGCTCCGACGGTGGATCTCCCCACGCCAAACTGGTTGCTGACAGATCGGTAGCTATCTTGTGTGGAGAGCTTCCAGAGGGAGATGGCCACCCACTTTTGGAGGGGAATGGCGGGCCTCATGCGTGTGTCCCGTTGCCGCAGAGCAGGGACGAGCCACTCGCAGAGCTCGAGGAAGGTGTCCTTCTTCATCCTGAAGTTCTGGGTCCACTGTTGGTCTCCCCAGTGCTCCAGGATGATGTGGTCCCACCAGTTGCTGCTGGTGTCCCGACACCAGATGCAGCAGGGCATGCTGGCTTCCGGGCGCCGCTCCTCCACGGCTCCCGGGGAGGCAGGGGGAGGGCCAGGGGACTGGCCTGCAGCAGAAGGTGCCAGGCAGCCTCCAGGAAGTGCTGCCAGGCTTGCAGCAAGACATTCAACATGAGCACCAGAGTGCCCAGGGACAGGTCTGACTCAATAGTGCCGAGTGCTGTGGTGTCCCAAATGAGAGCGGCCAAAGCAGACAGAGAGGAAAATGCTTTGCTGTTCCTCAGCGAGGTAGGCAAGCAAGCGGGAAAGCTGAGACCCAGCTGTCCAGGGAGGTCCCTTTAAGCATGAGGCTCAAACAGCAGCCACACAAAGCAACTACTGACCTGATGCCCTGCTGGAACCGGTTTCAGCTGCCCTTAAATGCCCCCCTGCGTCCAATCAGTGTGGACACACTATTTCAAAATAGCAAAACACTATTTCGAATTAGATTTTGTGTCTAGATGCCTTATTTCGAATTAGTTTATTTCTTGTAGCTTAATTCAACATACCCTTACTTATCATTTCCACTTGGGAAAGAAATTAGTTTGAGTTAGGGCAGAAAAATGAGGACTAACGTCAGGTTTATTTAATTTTGAGTTTTGGAATAAAACTCATAAGTTATGATGGACTGAACTGCTAGAGACCCAGCAAATGGTCTGAGCCTCATCCAGGCTGTCATTCATAGAACAAGTGAGTTTAAAATCCTTGAGAGAGAGCCTGGGGAGTGAAAAAAACTAAAACACTGTGTACTGAGGTTCTTCCAGTGCAGTGGTCTCCACCCTTTTTACACCCAAGATCACTTTTTAAATGACAGACCAAGCCAAGATCTACCACCCCGCCCCTTCCTTGAAGCCCCACCCCTTCCTTGAAGCCCCACCCTCTCTATTCTCCTCCTCTCCATCACTTGCTATCCCCAATCCTTATACTGCTGCTTATTTTTTTATTTTTATTTTATTCTTCTGTAGGAAGAGGTTTTTCCAACATTTGGCCTGTCTACACTGGACCAAATGTCAGAAAAAAAATTCTTCTTTTGGAAACCACCTTATTACTTGTGGAAAGAGGAATATAGGGGTGACCAAAAGAGCCTGTTTGCTTGTCCACTAAAGAAGTGGAAGAACAAACACAACCCTGGATGCAGAAGAGTTTTTCTGGGATATCTCCAGAATCCTGAAAAACTCCTGCAGTCTAGCTGGACCCTTGGGCTGTGTCTACACTGGCACCCTTTTCCGTAAAAGGGATGCTAATGAGACACTTCGGAATTGCAAATTCCGTGGGGGATTTAAATATCCCCCGCGGCATTTGCATGAACATAGCTGCCGTTTTTTTCTGGCTCTGGGTTTTGCCGGAGAAAAGCGCCAGTCTAGACGGGATCTTGCGGAAAATAAGACCTGGGAACACTGACAGGAACACTTCCCCCAGCCTCTCTGCCCCCGAGTTAATGTCACATTCCCTTTCAAGTAGGAATGGTGTCCCTGGCCTCTGTTTGTGGAAGGCTGGAGATGGATGGCATGAGACAAATCACTTGGTCATTGTCTTCGGCCCATCCCCTCCAGAGTAGCTGATGTTGGCCGCTGTCGGCAGAAAGGCTACTGGGCTAGATGGACCTTTGGTCTGACCCAGTACAGCCGTTCTTATGTTCTTATGTTCTAAGCTCAAGGCTCAGAGTTGGGGATCTCACTGGACCAACTTGATTTTCATGCAAACCTGCTCCTGGGTTCGCATGTGGGCTTTGGTGGCCAGGCTGGCAGCTATCCTGCCCTAGATGGCCGCATTCCTGTGCCTAGTGTGGAGGTCGTGGATGAGACCACTGTGGACAGTTTACTGACATTTTTGTCTGGTGGTTAGGCAGGGCACACAACACCTGCATATTTCGTAACTCAAGCCTCTACGACAAGCTGGAGTGGGCACATTCTTCCCCCACCATGACTTTGCAGTTGGGGGCATGCAGTTGCCACTGTGCATCATGGGGGACACGGTCTACCCTCTCATGCCATGGCTGATGAAACCCTATACCAGCTACCTCAGCCCCAGCAGGGAACAATTTAACTCCCACCTCAGCCAGGCAAGGATGCAGGTGGAGTTCGCCTTCAGCTACCTCAAGGCACGGTTCAGGTACCTTCTGAATCACCTTGACATGGAGAAGCACAACATCCCTGAGGATGTGCTGGTGTGTTGTGTCCTCCACAACATTGTGGAGAGGAAGGGAAAGACCTTCCTACCTGGGTGGGGGCAGAGGCCAGCCAAAAAGGGATACCCTTCGAGTAGCCACGGACAGCTGCCATCCGCCAAGCCCATCAGTTGGGGATGCGCATCTGGGAGGCCCTGAGCAAGAGTTTCTCTCAAGTAACTCTCCCCAGGGCCTCCCCACTAGGGGCTTGGGCCCTGCTCCAATATCCCTTTTTCCACCACAACCTCTCTCTTCCCCCCTTCCCAGAACTCTGAATAAAGACACCTATTTGGATTTTAACAGAATGAGCTTTGTATTTATCTTTCATTTTAAAAAGTTGGGGAAGGGGAGGGGGCTCATAGCCAGGACGGGGAGGGGGGTTGGGGCTGACAGTGGCATGGGGGGCAGCTGGAAGTGCCAACTTCAGTGCAGGGACGTTGGTGAACTTGGGGTTGAGTGGGTCCTGGGACCACAGGGGGATAGATGGGGGGCGGAGGGGAGAGGGCTGGAGCAAAGTCAGGGATGGCAGGGGGGCAGTGGAAGGGGGCATGGGCATCACTTGGGGAGGGGGCATTGGCATTGCTTGTGGAGGGAGCAGAGGCATCGCTTGGGGGGCAGGGAGAGGGGGAATGGGCATATCAGGGGGGCAAGAAGGTGATAGGCAGGAGCAGCGACAGTAGCCGGGTGGGTGCCATCATTTTGCACATAATGGCACACATGTTATCGCCCTGCCGCATGAGCTGGTCCCATGCGGGTCTGCCACTCTGTGTCCTCCAAGACCTCCTGCGCCAGAGTCTGCTGCATGTTGTGCAGGATGCACAACATCAGCTCCTCCTGCACCCTGGAGCGCTTGTGGGTCTGCCGGGGTCAGGCAGCTGACTCGGGTGGCATTTCTCAGTCACAGCTGGTCCGGCTGTGGAGAGCACAGAGGGAGAGGCGGTGAGTCATCCCTGCAGACACTGTCCCTGGGGCCGTGCCCTCCTCTGTGAGCAGTGACCAACAGTCCTTGGGCCAGAGGAGGGGGATGTCCCGGGAGCAAGGCCATGAGTGACCTGAACAGCAGGCCCTGCCTCACAGTGGCCCCAAGGTGCCCAGAGAATCATGCTGCTCGCTTCCACCCCCCCATGCACAAGCAGGCAAGGGAAGTGTCTGGCCACAGTGGGATCCCATGGGCGGCAGAGGAACCTGGAGCAGCCTGGCCCTCCCTGGGGCCCGCACACACACTGCACACACAGTGCCGTCCACTGGAGCAGGCGGTGCCTCATGCGTGCAGGCATGCCCATGTGCTGTGTGTGTCTGGGGTCATGCCTGTGCCCTTCTGGCTGGCCTTCTTCCAGCCATGGCAGGCAGTGGGAAGGGGGTCCCCCCACCCTGGGGCCAGATGTGTGTGTGGCCTCCCCTGAGCCTGGGAGCAGGATCCTGGGCATGGTCAGGGGCTGCCTGCTAAGACTGCCTGTTGCACACTAATGGTGCAGGTGGTTCCACATGCACGGACTGCAGCACAATGTCCAGCCCAAGCAGGCTGAGCAACACTCACACCCCATCCCCTCTGCACCTGTCTCCCCCACCCTGTGTGTGGAAAACTGAGAGCACTCACCTGAAGATCCCTCCCCGGCATCAGACGATGCCTGTGACACGTCCAGGCTTATGGGTACCAGCTCCAGGGACAGCATGACTGTGGTCACCATGTCATCCTCCTCCTGCCCCTGCTGACCCTCCTCCTCCTCCTCCATGACCTCCTGCCGGGTGACGACAGGCATCCAAGGCCAGAATCGACGACTACAGTGGGGAAAGGGCTTTCCCACCCCCAGGATCTGGTGCAACTCGTTGAAATAGGGGCAGGTGTTGGGTCCTGCCCCGAAGCATGAGCTGCACTCTCTGGCCCTCACATAGCCCTGGTGGAGCTCCTTCACCTTACTCCGGATCTGTTGAAAGGTCCGGGGTGGGTTTCCCCGCTCCACCAAGGCCTTGACCATCCATCCATAAATGTCCACATTGTGGCATTTGAAGCGGAGATCCTGTAGCATGTCCTCCTCCCCCCACAGCTCGAGGAGGGACAGGATCTCCACTCCAGACCAGGAAGGTGACCGCCACTTGGTACCGCTTGGTGGGTGCTCCTTGTGAGGGCCAGAAAGGTCTTGGGGGGCTTGTGGCTCGGCCATTGTTCAGAATGACTGTGGCAAGGACAGCTGCGTGGTCAGTGCTGCTCTCAGGGCCAGCTTCCTGCCATAAGACTTGTCCAGGGTGCCTGCAGCTTTAAGAGGTGCCAGGAGACAGGAACTATAGAGCTGTGATTACTTTGAACAGAGTGGCCACCAGAGCACCTGTGTTATTTCCTGGAGGCCTCTTCTTTCAAAAGAAAAGCCTCTTCCCCGTCCACACTCGCCTTCTTCCGAAAGAGCTCTTTTGGAAAAGGTGTTCTTCCTCGTAGAAAGAGGTTTGCCACTGTCGGAAAATCCCCTCTGTTCTTTCCAATTTTTGTCAAAAGAACACGATTTCAGTGTGCACATAAGGGCTGATTTAAAAAAAAAAAAAACTCTCCAGTGTAGACATACCCTCAAAGGGTGTGTCTAGACTACAGGGTAGCCTTTTTTCAAAAAAAACTTCGCCTGCATCTAGACTGCTGCTGCATTCTTTTGATTTACAAAAGAACGTGGTAGTTTTTTCAACCACAGAAAACCTTGTTTTATGAGGAAGAATGCCTTTTTTCAAAAGCGCTCTTTCGAAAAAAGGCGCTATGTAATGCAACTGTGCTTTTTCGAAAGAGAGCATCCAGACTGCCTGGGTGCTGTCTTTTGGAACAGCAGTTTGCTTTTTCGAAAGTACTGGTTGTAGTCTAGATGCTCTTTTTCAAAAGAGGCTTTTTTGAAATTATCTTTTGAAAAAGCCTCTTTCGAAAGAGGCTTGCAGTCTAGATGTATCCGTAGACTTCTGGCACCTGAGAACACAAGGCAGACTTGAGACACTTTTGTCAGCAATGACTGAGTTCTCTAATCTGCTTTGCCTGCACCAGTCAATTGGAGCATTGAATGGGATTCCAATATGACGCCCAGTTCTGCCACAGAGGGATTGTTTTTACACAATGTTTACCAGATATGAGAGCCATTTTCACCCTCTACAGCAGTGGTCTCCAATCTTTTTAAGCATAAGATCACTTTTTGAATGTAAGTGTAATCCAGGATCTACCTCAGACCCAAATACCCTTGCCCTGCCTCCGTTGTGCCAATTTTCTAAGGCCCTGCCCCTGCTCACTCTACTCTCACTTTTGCCCACCATTCTCCCTCTTTTTCACCAGGCAGGGGCAGAGGGTTGGGGCACAGGCTCTGGTCTTGGGCAAAGGGATTTGGAGTGTGAGAGAGGATCTGAACTAAGCCTGGGGCAGGGAGTTGGGGTACAAGAGAAGGTTCATGACTGGGACAGGAGTTCGGGATACTGGCTCCACTGCTTACCACAGGTGCTTATCTCAGGTGGCTCCTGGGTGGTTGTGCAGTGAGGCTAAGGCAGGTTTACCCCTGCCCTGGACCTTCCCCACTCTCAAAGACAGCCAGCAAACTCCCTCCATCCCAAGCCCTGTTGTGACCTCGCTCCATTCTGTGGAGATAGAATACAGGGTGGGAGGGGGGCACCCTGACATCAGCAACCCTTCCTCTCCCTCTCCTGCCCCTGCACAGAGAGCAGGAGGCTCGGGGTGGGGGGGGGGAAGTTACAGCTCCAAGGCAAAGGGCAGGAGATGCACGGCAATGGGGGAAGGAGCAGCTGAAGTGCTGCACTTGATAGCCTCTTGGCCAAACCAGTCAGAGGCTCCAAGATCTACCAGTACATCCTGATCTACTGGTTGGTGACCATGGCTCTACAGCAAACTGTACTATTGAGTCCTCACCTAGGCAAACATCTCAGCAATGACAGTGGGAGTTCTGCCTAAATTGATATTTTATTATTAGATTAGATTAAAACAATGAGCTAACAATGGTGTGTTCAAGCCAGATATGCTCCCTCATCTCTCCCACTCTTCGACTGGGCCTGAAAGGATCCCTTGAGTTTTTTCTCCAGTGTCTCTGTCCTTCCACAACCCTGGGAAAAGCTGTGACTCAACACCCAACCTTCTGCTCTGTGAATAATGAACCGTGATCAGGGATCCTTGGGCCCCAGAGAGGCATGTTTACTGTGTTATACAACAGGTCAGATTAACAGTTCTAATGGTTCTTTTTGTTTGTGAAGTCTGACTCTAGGGCTATGTCTACACTCGCGGCTTCTTGCGGCAGAAATGTGCAAATGAGGCTATGCTTGGAATATCGCGGAGCCTCATTTGCATACCTAATGAGCCGCCATTTTTGCAGAAGAGGCTCTTGCACCAGAAGAAGCTGTCTACACTGTCCCTTCTTGCACAAGAAAACCCCTCTTGCGCAATGCCGTTATTCCTGAAAATAATCATTGCAATGTAGACAGCTCCTTCTGGCGCAAGCACCTCTTCTGCAAAAATGGTGGGCTCATTAAGTATGCAAATGAGGCTCAGTGATATTCCACACTTAGCCCTATTTGCATATTTCTGCTGCAAGAAGCCACGAGTGTAGACAGAGCCTATGATTTTAAGCATGTTAATACTGCTGGTTCGTTCTGTAGCAGTTTTTGGTTTTGTGGCAAGGTAGTTAGTAGGTGGTAAAGTTTAGTGTAGAGTCCTGATAGTCTTGGCTCTGGCATATGATTGCTGAGAATCTGGAGTGAAGAGACATTTAACCTTATGGCCTGGCACTGAGTAGCCGTGACATGTATAAGCACTATAAGTCATGGAATGAAGTCACATAAAATCAATATTTTGATCCTAGTTCTTAATTCCTGAAGGTAAGGGCCTGATCCAAAGCCTGGCAATCAGTAGATTCTCCCTGAATCTTCAACGGGTCCCAAACCAAGAGTTATTTCAAAGAAGTTAGTGGAGTTGCACCACTAAACCACTTGTAAGAAGGTTCAGGACCCATGGGTCTCTTGAACATAACAGGCCAATATCTCATTAAGTACTATACAGTAGTCCCGAATTTTACCCACCCAGCATGAGCTCAAAAGAGAGGGAGATCTTTATTTTCCCCTCTCTTAGCAATAACTAGCTTAACCTCACTGTACTGGCCTTTATCAAATGGGTTGCATGGCACAGACACTAAAATGTATACATGGCTGCTGGGGTGCAGGCTGTGAGAGCATTTAGGACTCCAGAGTTATAGAGCAGAGAAGACCCCATCTACCCAGGGCCAAATGTCAGAAAAAACCCTCTTTTGAAAAAAAAGATTTTTTTTTCCTGACACTAAGAACGAGATTTACAGGGATGCCAATGAAATGTGTCTGCTTTTACGAGTTTTTTTCTTCAGAAAAACAGACATGTACCCCAGAAAAACTCTGCAGTGTAGACATAGCCTTACTACTGTGGGACCGCTCTCCTGTGCTGCTTGATATGGTGCATACACCAGCTGCATCTGAATAAAATCTTAACATTTGACACCACTGTACTAGTTCTAATTTGGTGGTGTGATTTTTGCTTGTCCCCAGGCAGAATGTAGAGCATTTCAAATGCTTTTGCATCATGGAGACAAATATAACTTACTGGCCAATGAAAAAAGAGCTGGCTGTGTTAAGCCCTGCACTGATTTGCAAGTCAGGTATATATAAAACACAAATAACTGCAAATGTCAAAGGCTGCAGAATGGTTGATCTGTTGATTGTTTCTCCAGACACAAAGCATTCATGTTGCTTTTTGCATGTCTTCAGTAAGCTTGATTGTCACCATTGTATTTTACAGAGCGCTAAATCCAAATACCATTCTTTAAAAGAAACATCAGCAAGTAAACATGTTGGACCCATTTTTCAAGTACCAACAACTTCACAAGGTATCCAAATCTGGCATTTCAATGTTCTGTTTGACTTGTAGAAACAAAAGACAGGACTGTGCAACACTTTAAAGACTAACAAGATGGTTTATTAGATGATGAGCTTTCATGGGCCAGACCCACTTCCTCAGATCAAATTGTGGAAGAAAATTGGCATGACCATATATACCAGAGGGATACAATAAAAAAAAGTGCACACATATAAAATAGACAAATCAGATTTTAGAACAGAAGGGGTCACGGGGCGGGGGGAGGGGGGGGCGGAGATTTAGCCATTTGGAATGGAAATCCATCAACCATATGAAAAAACTTGCACAGATCCAGACAGACATCACCCATTAACCTCCTCCCCCCCATCCTCCCTCTGTTCTAAAATCTGATTTGTCTATTTTCTATATGTTCACTTTTTTTGACTGTATCCCTGTGGTATATATGGTCATGCCAATTTTCTTCCACAATTTGATCTGAGGAAGTGGCTCTGGCCCACGAAAGCTCATCACCGAATAAACCATCTTGTTAGTCTTTAAAGTGCTGCATAGTCCTGTCTTTTGTTTCAGCAAGCCCAGACTAACACGGCTACATCTCTATTACTGTTTGATTTGTAGGCAGAGAAAACAGGCCTAACTTTCAAACTGACTTTCCAAAGGAGGGGTTCAAACATGGAGTCGCCAGCTTGCTTTGAAGTCCTTCTCCTCTCTCGCATGTACCCCACAAAGCTCACTTGGACATGTAGAGATTGAAAGACATTGGATTGCATAAGCGAGGGAAGGCCACAGAATACTCATGCAGATATGGTCTATATTTTGGCAGTGCACCCAATGGCTGTATCTGTGGGGTGCACTGGACAAAAGGAAGAGATTTTGGCACTGTGCAGATTGATGATCAATGACCATAGAAGAGCTGAGCCCGGTTCTTTGTTCTGAGAAGTTGTACTGGGTTGGTGGGATAGGATCCTCCTCTTAGGTTGTAAAGCACCTGTTCAGCAGCTCCGCAGCTGCTACTGCAATCTATCGATCCACATAGGCATGCATCATCTTTGATATGGGCAGGTAAGAGGTGTGGCTCTAGGTGAGGACTACAGGAGTGGATCAAAAACTTTCACCCAGACCTCAGTAATATGCATGTTCTGCAAGTCATCCAGCAATCAGTATAGCTGATGCCCTGGTTTCCCACAACAGATGTTGTAGTTTAGCATTGTTAAAATATTAAAGTAAAATATAACTCACGGGCCAAAATCAGACCTAGTGTATGCAGCTTAACTCTATTGACTTCAGGTCTGGATTTTCCCCAGATTGCATCTGTATTTAGAGAAAAGATTAGGCACATGTGTACTCTCAGTTTTTGTCTATAAGATCATAGTTAGGTGACAATAGTAAAGAGCCACAAAATAAATCCCTGTCTTCAAACACTGAAAAATGAACTTTCTCAGAACAGCATTATCACTGAAGCTAGTGTCTGTCTGCAAAGCTGCTGCCTGAAATCCTACCCGGCTACATCCTGCTGCCTTTCTCCTCCACAGATATTTTTACCTTACTGCCTCCTGTCCCTGCCCCTTTCTATGTAACTAATGTTTACTGCAAGAATTTATATTAAAGCTCTCAATGATCCAGGTAAGTCAGCACCTCAGATTGAGGCATTTCTGGTCAATTAACTTTAATGGTCATATCTTGTTCAATAGCATTACAGTCACTTCAATAACACTGTGACACCAGTTACTAGAGTTGCACAGCAATTCTGCTGCCTGTGAAAGTGGTTTCAGATCCAAAGCTGTATATTTCTTATTGAGTACCTTGATCATGCTCAGCTAGGTAGGATCTCCAGACCAGACCCTGAAAGATATTTAGTTGCCTAATTCCCATCAATTTTAGGTGCCAGTGGAAGTTAGGCTCCCAAAAATGTTTGAGGTCCTGGACCTCAGTATTCAGCTACATCCTGTTCCTACAGCACATGTTGTATAATATTTGTCCTCATTCATTTTTATCAGTCTCTAATATACATTTAGGGAAGTTTGGGGCTGCATTCTGATGATGACAGAAGAAAGCCTAAGACCTCTTTGGTTTGACATTTCTGAACTTCTCACCTTTTAAGTAAGACCACATAGAACAAAGACTTATTTGTACTCCTATGGCTGGCAGTAAGTTATTGATATGTTGATCCATAAGCAGTGGAACTGTGATTACTCTGCTGATGGATAATGGTTTGGGTTGCCCAATAGTTCAGAAGAATTAAACTAAAACGGGAGCTTTTTGTTGTCAAGTTCTTGCAGAAACCTGAACTGCTCTTTTCATCAGTCCATTCCTTTGGTGGTGGTAGGTGTTGCAAATAATACACTTGACATCACAGCATATGTATTCCGGAAGGTTTGAATGGCTTTTCTGTTAAAAAGTGAAAGGAAAAAATGTTACACAACCATTTATGAAGTAATACTAGTGAAAACTAGAATACATGTATATAATTTAGAAAAATGGCCTAAAATTGAGCTGCCGACAGGAAAACTGATGAGAAATACCAAGCTTTAAATCATCATGTTCTACAGCAAATAGAAAGGAAAGCATCTTAACTGACAGTTCCACATGCCCCTTGGAGATAATGATGTGGTGGAAATACTGTTCTCTCTTCTGCATTTCTAAAGGGACTGCAACGACCCAGCCAGGACTTGAAAGCTGCTGGTAAGCTGCTGGTAAGACTCATTTTTTAAAGCTTTGTATTTTTTCTCTTTTGGACTGAATCATTCATGTAGATATTCATATTTTAAGGAAACTTCATTTATTGCTAAGTTTGGATATTGTTATTATTGGAAAACGCAGTGATTATTAAAAAAAATTATTTTAGGCAGTTAGTGATCTTTGCTTTTAAAAACACTCCTTTGAGTTAACAATCAAAAAACTAATGCTAAACAGATCTGGAACCACAGGGAAAATAACGATATTTTTACAGTAATGAGTTCATTTAGATTTAATTCCTTTTTCTTAGAAGAATCGTGGAAAGCTTGATTTTGCTCTAATGATCTTAAAATTATGAGCTGTCTGCACACTTACCATACAGAGATGTAAAGATTTATGGAGCAGAGTTTTGACTTGTAAGGACCTTGTGAACGTAGTTTCATCTTGCACAGTGTTCAGTACCGTGCTTTTAATCCAGATAAATAATAATAATGAATAATACCATCCTCATTGGTGAGTCCTCTCTGAAAGAAAAGATTTGAGTTTGATATTGCAACATAACATTATTTCTATACTATGTGCAACAAGGTGTTTTGATACAGCTTCATCAAAGTGTTTGAAAATACTTATTTAACCATGTTATAATGGCATCATTTGTATTAATGAGACTGATGTTGATAAACAAGTCCTCTTTATAAATGTATTTTAATTTAAATATTTTCAAAAGGTACTAAAATTAACCGAGACCACTAAAACTAGCTCATCCATTAGTTGCCAATTCAGTTAAGCCTTTCAAACTGAATCACCAATAAATTGCATATATCTTTTTATGGTTTTATATTATGCTAATAAATGCTAGGATAAAAAAGGAATGCAAATGCAGACAGTGTAAATGTGTTGTACCTAATGCAAAATTCTGTTCTTCTTCACAACCATTTCCCAATGTTCAACATATTCTAGAAAATTTTCTGCTGTGCAAGATAGGATGTAGAAACAGAGGACACAGGACTGGAAGAAACCTCTTACAAATTAAAGCTAGTCCATGCTATTGCAGGCAGCCTCATCACATAATCTCATTCTTAAATTTATCAAACTCAATTTTCAAACTAGAATTAGATTGTTTGCCCCCAGAACTCCAACTAAGAGGCAGTTACAGAACCTCTCATGTTTAGCAGGCTGCTTCTAATTTCTAGCTGAATTGTATTCATGGCCAGGTTATACCCATTTGTTTTTGTGCCATTAGCAACATATGGACATCTTTGAAAAGTAATGAACCAAAGATTTCAAACCAGAGTCAAGCACAGAATAGGTTTGTATCTAGTTGCAATGAATCCTCATTAAAACACTATGGGACAGTGTTGCTTTTCATATCATAAAGAAGAAAAATAAAAAATGTAGCTATAAAAATAGTTTAAAATATTGTTGACTCTCTATGCTAGCTGCCCAATGCATACTTAAAGCTCTAATCTGTCTGTTTTATTTTTGTATACTTATCCTTCTGTCTACATGACTCAACAAGCATGTCATCTGCACTGTGATTTGCCTGTCCGACAAGGCAAATAGATAACATTCACTGGGTTCTGTGGTGGATAGTTAAAATATAGGACTTCTGAGAGATTTCTTGTCCCTTTAATATAATCAGAAGCCTCCTCAAGAAATGTTTGATTTAATTGATCTCAGAATTCTACTTTTGTGTAATTTCAATAAAGGGGACCTGACTATCAGCATATAAAAGCCAGCTGTGGATCTGTCCCAAGGACTGTAAAATTTGACCAGATTGTTAATACCACACACATACGTCAGATACATGGGGTATGTGTGATAACCGAATATGGCCCCAATAAAATAATCAAAACATACTGCTTAAAATATTTAATTTTTTAATGTCTTTCTGTATTTAATTACATCATATGTGACAATAAAACCATACAAGTATCTCTAAAGAACTTATAGATAGCTAGGGCAAAGTACTTAGTTGGCACACTGAATATGCATGTGTTCTGAGCATGGCTGGATACTGAATATGTATTCCTCAAATGACAATCATACCAACACTCCCTTTGCTTATCTCATACCACCAGGGTACAGTGAAGAGGCGTTGCTAGGCTGTGCCCAGTTATGTACCCCACTGTTTGCCAAACAGATGTCTTCACTTTGAAGATATTTTTTCTGGAGTTTACAGGCATCAATTTCACTCAGCTCAGAAAACCACTGCTTCACCCTGGCTGTGTCTTTTCCGGAAAAGGGATGCAGATTAGACACATCGGAATAGCAAAATCCGCGGGGATTTAAATGCCCCCCGCGGCATTTGCATTAACATGGCTGCCGCTTTTTTCCGGATAAGCCAGAGAAAAGCGCCAGTCTAGACGTGATTCTCCGGAAAATAAGCCCTTTTCCGGAGGATCTCTTATTCCTACTTTGAAACGAGGAGTAACGGTAGTTTGGACTAGGAAGCCTAGTCTGAACTACCTAGTCCGTGCCGCGTGTAGCCACGCCGCATGGAGTCCGCACTAGCGGACATTTAAAAATGGCGGCGCCTGGCTTTATGCAAATGAAGCCCGGGAAATTCAAATCCTGGGCTTCATTTGCAACTCCAGTTGCCTACATTACCACCCTAGTTTGAACTAGGGTGGTAGTGTAGACATACCCTTACAGACCAATCAGTTTAACTTCTGTGCCAGGAAACATAGGTCCAGAGAAGAGCAACAAGAATGATTAAAAGTCTAGAGAACATGAGCTATGAGGGAAGACTGAAAGAACTGGGCTAGTTTAGTTCAGAAAAGAGAAGATTGAGAGGGTACATGAGAGCGGTTTTTAAGTATCTAAAAGGGAGGAGGGGGGAAATTGTTCTTGGCTTCTGATGATAGGACAAGAAGTAATGGGCTTAAACTGCAGCATGGAAAGTTTAGGTTGGACATTAGGAAAAACTTAGGTGATTAATCACTGGAATAAATTGCCTAACGAGGTTATGGAATCTCCATCCCTGGAGATATTTAAAAGCAGGTTAGATAGAAATCAATCAGGGATTATTTAGACAGTGTTTGGTCCTGCCATGAGGGCAAGAGGCTGGACTTGTTGCTCTCTCAAGGTTCCTTCCATCTCTAGTGTTCTATGACTCTATGATGCTATACAGCTGGGCAAGCCCCAGAAGCCCTTCCCTGTGGTGTGGCTTCAGCAGGGAACAGTGACTGGTAACCCAGACTTCCAGCAGTGCCTCCTTAACAGTTAAGGAGGCATGTGGGACCTGAGGGAAGTGGAGGAGGAGAATCCCTTGCAGAAATGGGAGTGCAGGGAAACCCTCCCAACTCCCTCCCAACACTTTCCCTGCATGGGGTGCCTTTAGGGAGGAAGGGGCAGCCAGCTGGACAAGCTCCAGAGCCCTTCTCAGCATGGGGAGCTAGGAAAAGGGAGGAAGGAGTGGTCATAGCTCATCTAGCCCCAGAGGCTTTGCTCAGGCTGGGGTATCTGCAACATTTTCTAAAAAACATTTTTAGAATAGCATTTTCCGCACATGCTGGCTTTCTTCATTGCATATGTGTTGATGGCACAGGTGACTGCTTGCAACACTTTTCAAATTGAAGATTGCTTTTTCAAGCAAAAGAAGAAAAATACATGCAGAGTGTTATGTTTTTAATGAAAAATGGACTAATGACTATTTAGTTGTGAAGGTGAAAATGCAAGCCTGTTTGCCTGATTTGTGGAGAAGCAATTTCTGTCTTAAAAAAATTAAACCTGGAAAGTCAGCAAAACTAGAAAGATTAAACTAGAAAATTAAACCTAAATAGACTGCACAAAAACCCCATATCAAATACGAAGAATATCATGGACAGCTGCATGTGGACAAAATTAAAGAACTTAAAAAGAATTTGCATATGCAGCAAACAATGTTAACAAAACCCCAAAAGGAGAAGGATTGTGTTACCCAAGCAAGTTTTATGTTGAGTGAACTTATTGCAAAAAGAATCAGCCTCATGCAGACAGAGAGTTTGTAAATGAATCGTTGCAACTGCAGCTTTACTGGCACCAGAGAAAGGTAGTTTGAGAGTTTAAGCTGATCTTGCAGAACAGTGTCAGATTGAATTCAGGATATGGCTCGAGATATTGAAATGTCTCTGAAAGATTCTTTAGCTGATTTTGAGTTCTATTCTCTGGATGACGTAACAAATACAGCCCAGCTGACTCTTTCCTGCATGGAATCACACCAGGATTTCAGCTTCAAGAGAATTTAGTTTCTGAAGCACCATTACATGACACTGTGAGAGGTGAAGATATTTTTGAGAAGGTTACATTGGCACTGCACAGACTTCAGTTATCATTTAAAAAACTGAGTGGTCTTACTACTGATGGTGCTCCAGGTACATTGGATCTCAGAAGGGATTAGTTGCCTTAGTCAAGAAAGAAATGGATCATGTTGGTCTTGAGCCAAATAAGTTGATTGTGTGTCATTGCATCATTCATCAAGAGAATCTTTCTGCAACTAAACAAGGTAATGTCAACAGAAGTATCAAGTATTAATTTTATTACAAGTAAAGAATTAAACAGCTGCCAGTTTACAAGCTATTGAAAGATCTTGAAGCAGCATATGGTGATATAGTTTATTATTGTGAAGCGTGGTGGCTGAGCCAAAGGAGTATGCTGAAGCGGTTTCATGAATTGAGGAATGAAGTGAAACTTTTCATGGAAATGAAGGGAAAGCCTGTGGCTCAGCTGAGCAACTCCAAGGGTGCGTCTAGACTGGCAAGATTTTGCACAAAAGCAGCTGCTTTTGCGCAAAAACTTGCCAGCTGTCTACACTGGCCACTTGAATTTGCGCAAGAACACTGACGTTCTAATGTAAGAATTCAGTGCTTCTTGCGCAAATACTTTGACGCTCCCCCTCAGGGATAAGCCCTCTTGCGGAAGAATACTTGCGCAAGAGGGCCAGTGTAGACAGGCACCTTAATTTTTTGCGCAAGAAAGCCCAATGGCTAAAATGGCCATCGGAGCTTTCTTGCGCAAAAGGGCATCTATACTGGGCACAGATGCTTTTGCACAAACGCACTTTTTGCACAAAAGCATCCATGCCAATCTAGACACTCTTTTGCGGAAATACTTGTAACGGAAAAACTTTTCTGTTAAAAATATTTCCGCAAAATCATGCCAGTATAGACGCAGCCCAAGTGGCTGTGTGACCTTGATTCATAGCTGACATCACTGAGAACTTATCAGAGTTCAATATCAAATTGCAAGGGCCTAATCAGCTTGAAAATAAATTAAAGATGTGGAGAATGCAGCTGGAAAAGGGCAACATGGTGCATTTCCCAACACTTCAGGAACAAAAAAACTGCATCAACAGTAGATTACAGCAGGGAGAGCGAAAGTTTCCTTCACAAATTTTGTATCCAACTTCAAGACCTAAGATAGAAGGAATTGAAATTAAAAATGTTTTCCAATCCATTCAATGTAGAATTACTCAATGTATCTGAAGCCTTTCAACAGGAACTTATAGAAATGCAAAGCAGCGATGAATTTATGGCTAAATTAAAAAACCTGCCTATGCTAGAATTCTATGGACTCTAAATAGGTGCCAATAAATTTCTGAACTTGAGGAGACACACATCACTATTTGGCACTGCATACTGCTGTGATCAGTTCTTTTTAAAGCCTTCTCTTGAAAAGAATTCCCTGCATGCCAAACTAACAGATATGAATCTGGAAAGCCAGTTACAAATAGTAACAATTTCAAGGAAAAGTAAACAGCCATCACACTAAAATTCTAAATAAAACATATGAAAAAGAACACCAGGCATTTTGTGGAATTTTTATGTGTGTGCATGAGTGTATGGTTAGGTTGTTTTGGTTTCGTTTTTTTTGCTTCACTTCTCACTTTGAAAATATCATGTGGCTTCTGTATAAATCCATATTACGCCTACATCTTGAATACTGCATTTAGATGTGGTTGCCTCATCTAAAAAAAGATATATCGGCATTGGAAACAGTTCAGAAAAGGGCAAAACAAATGATTAGGGATTTGGAAAGGATGCTGTATGCAGAGATTTAAAAGACTGGGACTTGTCAGCTTGGAAAAGAGACAATTAAGAGGGAATATGATAGAGGTCTATAAAATCATGACTGGTATAGAGAAAGTGCATAAGGAAAAATTATTCACTTGTTCCATAACGTAAGAACTAGGGGTCCCCAAATGAAATTAATAGCTATCAGGCTTAAAACAAACAAAAGGAAGTTTTTCTTCATGCTGCGCACAGTCAACCTATGGAACTCCTTGCCAGAGGTTGTTGCGAAGACCTGTACTTTAACAGTGTTCAAAAAAGAACAAGATAAATTAATGGAGGTTAAGTCTATCAATACTTATTAGCTAGGATGGGTAGGAATGGTTCCAGCCAGCCTTAAATCTGAATCAATGTCCACTCAGTGTGGACACGGTATTTCGAAATGCATTTTGTGTGTAGGCGCGTTATTTTGAAATAAGCTATTTCGAATTAACTATTTCGAAATAAGATATTTTGAAATAACGCTGTAGTGTAGACAGACCCTCAGGCTCAATGAGAATGGAGGTTTCCCAGGGAAGGGTTATGCATTCAACTCTTTGTCCTCTCTGTCTCTCTGGCCCAGTGACCATCACCACTTTGACATTCAGGTTCCTTGTACTAAAATGCTAATAGAGTGATTTTCCATTGCAGAGAACACAATGAAGCTGGTGCCAAACCTCCTTTACTTGTTGCTGCTGGTGAAACTACATCACACTGAAAGAACAGATGATGAACCACAGTTACCAAAAGAGCCTTGTGCAAATTGGATGGGAGGAGCACCTGGCTACCCAGGCCACAACGGTGTCCCAGGCAGAGATGGAAAGGATGGGAAAGATGGGCAAAAGGGAGAGAATGGAGAGCCAGGTCTGTGTGAGGCCTAAATATTCTATGTCATTTCAATCAAACATGTCTTAAACTTCTGCAGGATGGAAGCCTCAATAGGGACAGGATTCAAAGTTCATGGAGATTGATGGAAGACTTCCATGGGCTTTTGATCAGGTCTAAAGTTCTCACAACTGTTTGGAGGTAAATTACATGTGGTGGCTGCCACATGTAATTTACCTTGTGGCTTGCGTGGACAGAGGGAATTGAGATTTGAGCCCACCACCCTCTGCTGTGCTGCACTGCCCAAGCAAATTCTCTATCCCCTAAGCCACTCCAGAAACCACCCCACAGCCCATCCCTAATTTGGTGTTCCTAATGGGGGAAAGCAAAGGCAGCCTGAGTTGGCTGCCCAGCAGCTGCCTGGATGGGCAGGGAGCAGACTTGAACCACTATCCCCTAGGACACTCCAGAGCCCACTCCACCTTCCTAATGCAGCAGCCAGGTCCATCCCTAGGGCAGCTCAGCCACAGCATGGGGAGGGACTTGAACCCACCACCCTATGCTCGGTTGCTATCCCCTCTGCCACTCCAGAGCCCATTGACATCTGTTGGGAGACAATCCAGGAAGTTTTTGGAGAATATTGGGGACAACTTCCTGGTAGAAGTGCTGAGGGAACTGACCAGGGAGCAGCTTGACCTGCAGTTTACAAACAAGGAGGAATTAGTAGGGGAAGCAGATGTGGGTGGCTACCTATGTAGCATTGATGGTAGATTTCAGGGTCCTGACAAAAGGAAGAAAGGAGAGCAGCAAAATACAAACCATGGCCTTCAGAAAAGCAGACTTTGACTCCCTCAGAGAACTGATGGGCAGGATCTCCCGGGATGCTAACATAAAGGGGAAAGGAGTCCAGGAGAGCTGACAGTATTTAAAGAAGCCTTATTGAAGGTGCAGGAACAAATCATCCCGATGTGCAGGAAGAAAAGCAAATATAGTAGGTGACTAGCTTGGCTTAGCAGTAAAATCCTTGGTGAGCTTAAACACAAAAAGGAAGCTTAAAAGATGTGGAACCTTGGACAGATGACTAGGGAGGAGTATAATATGTATCCTCTCCTGTTGGCTAGCCCAGTGTGAGGTTATTCAGCATAGGGGAAGCCTTGTGACTCTCTACACAACTGTGGGAGCCTAGCTCACTGGTGTGCTCTGCATTGTGTATTATGTGTGTGCACCTCAGACCAGACCCTCTCAGAAAAAACACCAGGAACAGGCTGTAAAGAACACAAAACAGGACCACAGTTCAGCAGCCCTTCCTCTCTGCATGCAGCCTGCGTGCTGCTTCCAGTACAGTCCCTGCTGAGACCCTGCTGGGGCACAGTGTACATCCTGGCAGCAACCAGGAAGTTCTCCCAACATGCCAGTTTGTAGTTCACAACTTGTAGTTCCCAGGGGTGCTGTTGAAACACACTGGACCTTGAGTTACAAATCTATTGCTCGACCATGCCGGGGTGTAATCAGGAAAGCCAAAGCGCAAATGGAATTGCTGACAAGGGATGTGAAAGGTAACAAGAAAGGTATCTACAGGCATGTTAGCAATAAGAGGGTGATCAGGGAAGATGTGGGAACTTTCCTGGATAAGGGAGGTAATCTAATGACAGATGAGGTGGGGCAAGCCGAAGTACTCAATGCTTTTTTTTTGGCTTTGTCTTCACAGAAAAGGTCAGCATCCAGACTGCTGCACTAGGCAGCACAGTATGGAAAGGAGGTGGGTAGATCTCAGTGCAGAAAGAACAGATTAAGAACTATTTAGAAAAGTTAGACATACCCAATTCCATGGGGACAGATCTAATGCATCCGAGGGTGCTCAGGGAGCTGGCTGATGTGATTGCAGAGCCTTTGGCCACTCGTGGTGATTGGGGGAGGTCCCAGATAATTAGAAAAAGCAAATGTAGTGCCCATAGTTAAAAAAGGGAAGGATGATCCAGGGAACTACAGACCAGTCAGCCTCACCTCAGTCCCCAGAAATATCATGGAGGGGATCCCCAAGGAATCCATTTTAAAGCACTTGGAAGAGAGGAAAGTGATCAGGAATAGTCAACATGGATTAATCAAGAGCAAGTGATGCCTGATAAACCTGATTTCCTTCTAAGATGAGTCAACTGGCTCTGCGGAAAAGAGGAATGCAGTGGACATGATTTACCTTTGACTTTAGCAAAGCTTTTGATCCAGTCTCCCACAGTATTCTTGCCAGCCAGCAAGTTAAGGAAGTATGGATTGGATAAATGGACTGTAAGGTGGGTAGAAAGCTGGCTAGAATGTAGGACTCAATGGGTAGTGATCAATGGCTTGATGTCTGGTTGGCAGTTGGTATCAAGTGAAGTGCCCCAGGGGTCAGTTTTAGGGCTGGTTTTATTCAACATCTTTATTAATGACCTGGATGAGGGGATGGATTGCACCCTCAGCAAGTTTGCAGATGACACTAAACTAGGGGGAGAGGTAGATATGCTGGAGGGTAGGGACAGGGTCAGAGTAATCTAGACAAATTGGGGGATTGGGCCAAAAGAAATCTGATGAGGTTCAACAAGGACAAGTTCAGGGTCCTGTGCTTGGGACAGAAGAATCCAAAGCATTGCTATAGGCTGAGGACCAACTGGCTAAGCATCAAGTCAGCAGAAAAAGACCTGGGGATTACAGTGGATGAGAAACTGGATATGACTCAACAGTGTGTCCTTGTAGCTAAGAAGGGTAACAGAATATTAGACTGAATTAGCAGGAGCATTGCCAGCAGATCTAGAGAAATTATTATAACCCTTTAATTGGCACTGGTGAGGCCACATTTGAGTATTGCATCCAGGTCTGGGCCCCCATTTCAGAAAGGATATGGATGTATTGGAGAAAGTCCTCTGGGGGAAAGGGGGTTACCACAATGATTTGGGCTTATTTTGTCTACAGAAGAGAAGATTGAGGGAGGAGCTGATAACAGCCTTTAACTTCCTGAAGAGGAGTTCCAGTGAGGATGGAGAGAGGCTGTTCTCAGTGGTGACAGATGATAGAACAAAGAGCAATGGCCTCAAGCTGCAGTGGGGAAGGTCTAGGGTGTGTATTAGGAAAAATTTCTTCAGTAGGAGGTTGGTGCAGCACTGGGATGGGTTCCCTAGGGAGATGGTGGAATCTCCATTCCCAGAGGTTTTTAAGTCCTAGGTTGACAAAGCCCTGGCTGGGATGATTTAGTTGGAGTTGATCCTGCTTTGGACAGGGGGTTGGACTCTGTGACCTGAGGACTCTTTTATTAGGATTTTTGTTATTTTTAGGATTTTATTATTTTAAATCAGGGGAGGGTAATAATTTTAGAAGAGTTTTTAAAGTGGCCCCAAGTTTTCCCTCATGCAGAGAGGGGCGGGGCCATGACACTTCTGTGCTCCCCTGCCCATGGACCCTGATTGGTCTGAGGGTGGGGGAGCACATGAAGTCTTTGCCCCAACTCCCAAAGAGAAGTGCTACCTGTTCTGAACAGCTGGTGGTTCCCTCTAGTCGTCTGTGTCCCTGGCAGTGAGAGGAGGCTTCATACACTCCTCCGTCGCCAGGTCAATCAGGACCTGGGTGCAGGGGAGTATGTGAAGTCTCTCACTGCCTGCCCTGCCCTGGTGGGAGAGGAGGCTCTGATTGGCCTGGGGTCAGGGGAGCAGCAGGGCATCTGCAGGCCAAATCAACTCACTTAGCGGGCCAGATCCCGCCCTCAGAGGCTCTCTCGCCCATTTCTGTTCTAAGTACTGGGAACATTAAAATTGCTCCAAAAAGTTCCCAGATCCATGTCTACTACATTTACTTTGTCAGTGAAGAGGAACTTGATTAGTCTGAGAGAGGTAGCCGTGTTAGTCTGTAACTTTAAAAATGAGTGATCCCAAGGCACCTTAGGGTATGTCTTCACTACCCCCCTAGTTCGAACTAGGGGGGTAATGTAGTCATACGGAGTTGCAAATGAAGCCCGGGATTTGAATTTCCCGGGCTTCATTTGCATAAAGCCGGCCGGCGCCATTTTTAAATGCCGGCTAGTTCGGACTGCGCGGCTACACGCGGCACGAACTACGAACTAGCTAGTTTGGATTAGGCTTCCTAATCCAAACTAGCTGTACAACTCGTTCCACAAGGCGTACAGCTAGTTTGGATTAGGAAGCCTAATCCAAACTAGCTAGTTCTTGCCGCGTGTGGTGGTTAATGTAGTCATACAAACTTGCAAATGAAGCCCGGGATTTGAATTTCCCGGGCTTCATTTCCATGTTGCCGGGCGCTGCCATTTTTAAATGTCCGCTAGTGCGGACTCCGTGCCCGCCGCTACACGCGGCACGAACTAGCTAGTTCGGATTAGGCTTCCTCATCCGAACTAGCTGTACACCTCGTTCCACGAGGCGTACAGATAGTGCGGAGTAGCTAGCTAGTCCGCACTATCTAGCCCGTGCCGCGTCTAGCTGCGCGGCACGGGGTTCAAACGAGCCGGCATTTAAAAATGGCGCCGGCCGGCTTATGCAAATGAAGTCCGGGAAATTCAAATCCTGGGCTTCATTTGCAAGTGCGGTATGCCTACATTACCCTCCTAGTTCGAACTAGGGGGTAGTGTAGACATACCCTTAGAGACTAACCAAAATATAGAGAATCACGAGCTGTTGTGGGCAAAACCTACTTTATCAGATGAATTGGAGTGGAAATAACAGAAACCAAGACATACATATAACAGCAGAAGTACTTGTCAATTGTAAGACCCATGTTAATGAGGCTGATTAAGTGGACTCGAGGTGTCCCATTTGATATGGGAATGCAGATGCTAATGGCAGGAGAAACTGTCAAGGACTGACCTGTCTCCCAAGGTCTGTCAGAGCGAGGGATCATTTTCCAGAATAGGTTGTAGATTGTCAGTGATGTGCTGGAGGGGTCTAATCCCGTAGTCACCAACCAGTACATCAGGATCCACCAGTAGATCTTGGAGCCTCTGACGGGATCCTGACTGGCTTGGCCAGGAAGCTGTCAAATGCTGGTACTTCAGTTGCCCCTACCCCCACTGTCATGCTGCTCCTTTCCCCTGCCTTGGAGCTGCCCCTTGGCAGCCTCCTGCTTGCTGTGCAGGGTGTGGGAGGTAGAAGTCGAGGAGCACTTGATGTCAGGGTGTCCCTCTTCCCCCACTCCTGTACTCTGTCTCTACATAGAGAGAAGTGGGTGGAGGGAGCTTGACAATGCAAATCTCTGTCACTCTTACACACTGTGTGTCTCTGTCATTCTCACAAACACGCACTGTCCTTCCCTCTGATCCCCTGTTACTGCTTTTACTGCTGGCAAAGTGGGTTATTTTTGTTTTTGGACTGGTCTGTGTATTTCATAATGTTCATTTCTCTCTTACGCTTACATTTAATTCTTTGAGGAGGGAGTTCTAAAATGCTGAACCCGCTATGGCTGGAGTAATTATCCCTGCGGGAATTGTGTTCCTGGAGGTGGCTGGCATGTCCCCGCAACCCCTGAGAAAGGCTGAGCAGGGGGTCTCCACATGCTGTCCTTGCCAGCAGACACCACTCCTGCAGCTCCCATTGATCAGTATCAGTAACAGAGAACTGTGGTCAGCAGAAGCTGTGGGGTCAGTGCCAGTAGATGAGGGGCAGCACATGCAGCCACTGCTGTCAAGAGAATCGCAGGGTGGGGCAGAGGTGACCCTGCCTTAGATCTGCTGCTGCTCCATCTGTGGGGCAGCTATCTGGCTGCTTCCAAGGTGGGCCTCAAGCCCGCCACCCTGCACTCCCCAGGCTGATACCCTATCCTCTAAGACACTCCAGAACCCACCCCACCTGTGGGTCCCTTATCCTGCCTTCCTAATGAGGAGTCAGGCTCATCCATGGGACAGCCAGTGTTGGCTGCTGTCTGTGCCCCAGGTGGGTGGACCTTGGGCTAGTGAAGGGGGGACTTGAGCCCACCACTCTGCCTTCCCCTCCTCAGGTGCATGCTGCATCCTCTAAGCCACTCCAGAGCTCAACCCAACCCACACCACTTTCAGCAGGTCCCTTATCCTGCCTTCCTAATGCTGGAGCCTCGTCCCATCCCTGAGGCAGCCTGTGTTGAGGCTACTGATGGGGGGCCCAGGAGGCTGGACTGGCACTGCTGGACTTGAACCCACCACCCTGTGTTTCCCCAGACAAATGCTGAATGCTCTAAGCCACTTTGGAACCCACCCCACCTTCAGGGTTCCGAAGTGGCTTATCCTGCCTTCCTAATGGAGGACCCAGCTCCATCTCTGGGGCAGCCTGTGTTGGCTATCTGGCTGCTCCCAGAGCGAGCGAGGATTGAGCCCACAACCCTGCACTTCCCAGACAAATGCCCTATCCCCTAGGCCACTCCAGAAGCCACCCCATCTCTCTACCTTCAGGGTGTGTCTAGACTACAGAGTTTTGTCGACAAAAGTGGACTTTTGTCAACAAAACTATACCTGCGTCTACACTATCGCTGAGTTCTGTTGACATAACGTCGACAGAACTCAGCAGTTTTGTCGACGCTGGTAAACCTCATTTTACGAGGCCTAACGCCTTCTGTCGACAGAGTTCTGTTGACAGAAGGTTTATTGCATGTAAACTGCCCTTGTGTCTACACTGCCATGTCGACAAAGCAGCTTGCTTTGTCGACAGAACTGAATGTAGTGTAGACGCTCTTTGTCGACAGAAGCTTTGTCGACAGTATCTGTCGACAAAACTTCTGTCGACAAAACTCTGTAGTCTAGACGTACCCTCAGGGTGCCCCCTCCCACACACCAAACCCCTTGGCCCAAGACCAGAATCTTCACCCCAAATCCCTACCTCAGCCTGGTTAAAGTGAATGAGATTCGGGGAGGAAGGGGGATGGAGTTCGCAGGCTGAGGCCTTGGAGAAGGGGTGGAGCAGGAGCAGGGCTTCACAGAAGTGGGGGAAGGAAGTCGGGCAAGGTTATTTGGGTTTGAGGTAGATCTTACATTGCATAAAGTGATCTTGTGGTTAAAAAGGTTGGAGACCACTGGTTTAATGTGTGGGTTTTAGGTGATAACCAGTGGTGTTCTGACCTAACCGCTTAAGCCACAACATCAAGGGCTCATACAACTGCACATCCTCTAATGTGATATATGCCATCAAGCACCAGCAATGCTCCTCTGCCATGTGTATTGTCCAAACTGGACAGTCTCTACGGCAAAGGATAAATGGACAGAAATCAGACATCAGAAATGGTAGCACACATAAACCTGTAGGGGACATTGTAACCTGCCTGATCACCCAATAATGGATTTAAAAGTCGCCATTCTTCTACAAAGAAATTTCATAATCAGTTAGAGAGAGTCTGCAGAACTGGAATTTATCTACAAATTTGACACTCTTCTCCAGGAGTTAAGCAAAGACATTAACTCGTTGATGCATTATAAAACTAATTTCTCCTTCCATTAACATCAGCATTTCCACATCAAAAGATATGTATGGGACACATCCAGTCCACCTAATTAGCCCCATTAACATGGTCTTACAATTGACAGGTACTTCTTCTGCAGGTGTGTGTGTGTGTGTGTGTGTGTGTATTTCCACTCCAATTTGTCTGAAGTGGGTATTGCCCATGAAAGCTCACAATTCTATATATTTTGGTTAGTCTGTAAGGTACCACAGGACCACTCATCGATTAGTCTCGAGTTCTTTGTGGAAGCATGGGAAGAGGATTTATCACAGCCCTTAAAAGAATACCAATGGTACAGCATATTACAAAAAGTTAAAAATGCTTCTGTGGATTTCAGAATACACTTGCTGCAACAAAAATTTTTGTCCAAATATGTTGGACACAACAGAGGTTGCAAAAAGCCATATCCTCTGACATTTGAGTGTTGTGATGCATATGTAATGGGACTCTTCAACAGTCAAGCCACTCTGAAAGAAAGCAGTCACAAAAATTGAAATAATGATCATCTTTAGCAGCCAAATCTCAGGGTTCATTTAGACAAAGTATATGATTTTACTAACCCTAACCCTACACTGAACATGGAGTAGTAGTGTCTGGACCTGTCTGTGTTAGCAGCCAAAGAACGAATAGCTTACAGCCTTTTTGTATAAAAATGCTGAAATCACTCATAGGTCCCTTCTACTCCTCTCCATGTTCCACTTCCCTCTGCCATGTTATGTCTATTACCCCATTTTATGTCTATGTAGTATTGCCTGTTCAGGTCTTGCAGCCTTGACAGCTTGTAAAAGAGTGTGATTCCATATTCTATTGGAGAGTCCATAAAGCATGGAGTGTTTGGAAACACACTAGCTGTAAGTCATTCCCCTTTTTGTATTTTTCACTGTTTCTTTAAGAAAATCAGTAAAAACAATCAATCAAAAATTATAACAGCAAAAACTTCAAAGTAAATGTTATGATGGGACCAAAAGGGTGCCCTATATGTCCATGCTGGCTGCAAATGATAGTCCCAAAGAGCTCAAAGACTATTGTAGCAGTATTTGCTATAATCCAAGGAGACAACTTAGTGAAGCAAAGCATCAGATTTGAAGTATCTCTGTTCCCTTGAAATATGGGTGTGAATTCCAGCAGGATCCCTCTGAGATAAATTGAAATCCAAGCTTTTTTTATTGAAGTTTTTTGAATAAGGATTAAAAAACCCATGGCTCTGTTTATTTTCCATAGGCATTTGTGAGCTTATAAAAAATCACCCAACTGGTCACCCTGTTCTCAAGGACTGATTGTTTTCTCATCTACTGCTACAAAACTACTATATTAGCACATATGTTGAAGTGAGTCTGATTTGGTTTAATGCTGGAAATTCCTAACATGATCACTAACCAAAATAATTTTTCTTTATAGGTGAGCCAGGCCCCAAAGGGGATATTGGAGAGGGAGGAAATCCTGGGACTGAAGGTCCAAGAGGATTTCCAGGAGTCCAAGGGATGAAAGGGGAGAAGGGAGAAGGTGCATATGTTTACCGTTCTGCTTTCAGTGTGGGGCTCACAAGCAGAGTCCCTCACCCCAAAGTTCCCATCAGATTCACAAAGATCTTCTACAATGAACAGAATCACTACGATGAAACCACAGGGAAGTTCCGCTGCAGCATTCCAGGCCTGTACTATTTTGCATACCACCTCACTGTGTATATGACAGATGTGAAAGTCAGCCTGTATAAGAAGGACAAGGCAGTGCTGATCACCTATGATCAGTTCCAGAAAAATAATGTTGACCAAGCTTCTGGGTCTGTTTTGCTTCACCTGAGTGCTGGAGAAGAAATTTGGCTTCAAGTGTATGGAGAAGAAGAAAACAATGGAGTCTATGCTGATAATGTCAATGATTCTACGTTCATGGGTTTCCTCCTTTATCCAGACCTGGATCTTTATTAAAGTGTGAGACAGTACATGGGGGAGGGAGAAGGGAGGATTAGTCAAGGAAACGGTTTGGATACACTCAAGGTTTTCCCAAGCACTATTTCCAAACTGTACTTACTGGCAAACACAGTGTTTCATAGGGCACATTCACAACTGATTATATGGAAATGTGGATATCAAAAGAGGGGAAATTGTCTTTGTAGTGAGTTAATCAGTTTAGATCTTTATTCAGTCCTAAGTTGCTGGCCCACTTATCTGCTATGCTAGTTCTATGTTGCTATGATTAGTGATCTTAGTAACATTCCTGCAGCTGATCTTCATTGTAGTTTCTTGTTTGATTTTATCTAAAGGAAAATTAGCTTCTCAGTACCAATTTAGGACTGAATAAAGATCTTAACTGGTTAACTCACCATAAAAGCAATTTCCCCTCTCTTGATATCCACATTTCCACATCCACTGCTGTGAATGAGCCATTTCCACTCTGACTTGATTAGCCTTATTTCCACAAGTACCCTCTTTCTTTTGTTGTGTACACACACACACACATTCAGGCCTCTCTAAACTCCACTCCAATTCATCTGATGAAGTGGGTTTTACCCACAAAAGCATATACCTTAATAAATCTGTTTGTCTCTAAGGTGCCACAGGACTCCATGTTGTTTTTACAGATCCAGACTAACATGGCTACCCCTCTCTGCCTACTAACATTATGTTTAATTTCCATGGTAAGCTCTTTAATGCTGGTGTTGTACCTTTTTATTTATCAGTGAAGCATTACATACAATTATCAGGCTACATAAACAGCCATAACAACAACTCATGGTTACTACATCTTGAATAGTAGATTGTACTAGAAGTTTCATTTCTTTGGAGACCATATTTCTGTGGCTGTTCTAAATTCATGGCATCTCCCTGCAAACAACATACTAGTTATTAGGAGAATGGGAGACACCAACAGGCAGAGGGGCAGGTATTTAAAGATAAACACATTTCTAATTAAAATATTGAAACTGCACAGTATTTAAAGAAGTAGCAGTTCAGTACTCATGCTGGAATGTGTGTTTGGTTTGAGAGCATTGTATAGCTTTAATTTCAACTGGAGGTCAAGATTGAATTGTTAATTCATCTACTCTACAGATAAGATCAAAACAGTCACTGTTGATCTTCCGGCGTTTGAATTAGTGAATCTAGTGAAGACACACTAACTCAAACTGAGAGGGTACTCCCATCAATGCCGGTAGTTCTGCTTCTATGAGGAGTAAAGGAAGATGAAAGAGAGTGTACTGAAGTGTGGACAGCACCAAACGTCAAGTTAAGATACTTCGACTTAAGCTATGCAATTAACGTAGCTTAAGTTGTGAATCTTAATTCGACCTATCCTGTTGTGTAGACAAGGCTTTAGTCTTCTGTGCCTTCTCCTCTGTAAAATACCCAGTAGAACCTACAATTTAGTAATCACCTTTACTTTCTAAACATATACATCCATCTCATCTATGGAGGAGATTCTCACCTGGTGTAAATGAGCATTCCTTCATTAACATCAATAGAACAACACTGATTCACACTAGAAGAGAAATCAGCTCACTTATCTGCAAGGCTAGTTCTATGTTGCTATGCTTGATTTTATCTAAAAGAAAATTAGTTTTTCAGCTAGATTTGGAGATGAAGAATTCAGTTTTGCTTTGATAAGCTGATTGTTTTGCATGGTTCCTAAACTGACACATTACTATAATTGTAGAGTAGTATCATTGCTTTCACAAAAAATCATTTTCATAGCAGTATTTTCTACATGCCAATGAGTTAACTTATAAATAAAAAGATTTGGCTCTGTCACTAAAGACTATGTCTTTTTTTGTTTGATTGTCATGTTATTGGTATTTTGGAAGAGGTTGACAAAGGGACATTTTCCCCCCCAACATACACGGGCTAAGTAGCAGTTCTGCAGAAAAGGACTTGGGGATTACAATGGATGAGAAGATGGATATGAGTCAACAGTGAGCCCTGGTAGCCAAGAAGGCTAATGGCATATTAGGGTGCATTAGGAAGAGCATTGCCAGCAGATCCAGAGGAGTGATTATTGTCCTTTATTCAGATCTGATGAGGCCACATCTGGAGTATTGTGTCCAGTTCTAGGCCCCCAATTACAGGAAGAATGTGGATGAATTGGATAGGGTCCAGCAGAGGGTGACCAAAATATATAGGGGGCTGGAGTGCATGACCTATGAGCAGAGACTGAGGGATTTGGGTTTATTTAGTCTGCAGAAGAGAAGTGTGAGGGGGGCATTGATATCAGCCTTCAACTTCCTGAAGGGAGATTCCAAAGAGGATGGAAAAAGGCTGTTCACAGTAGTGATGGATGGCAGAACAAGGAGCAATGGTCTCAAGTTACAGTGGGTAAGGTCTAGGTTGGATATTAGGAAAAACTATTTCCCTAGGAGGGTGGTGAAGCACTGGAATGGGTTACCTAGGGAGGTGGTGGACAGGCAGCACACTCTGGGCATTCACTGGTGGCTGTGTCTGGGCTGTGGGTGATCCCTACTGGCCGGTGTCCAGAGCATTGCCCAGCAGGTGGGCTGCCTAGGTCACGTAGACAAAGACCTAACCGGTCTGGCTGGTTGAGGGTAGTGAGGGAACTAAGGAAGTGAGTGTTCGGGGGAAGGGGCAGTCTTGGGCTGGAGTCATGAAAGAAATAGCCAACGCTGAGGGCTGTAGGTCTAGAGGTGACAATGGACCCCCTAACCCAAGGGGTCTGAAGCATCCTGGCCCTGACTCCTGTAACCACATCACGTCTATGCTGTGGTGTATCCTGGAGAAGCAATAAACCCTCTCTGTTCTACTGGCTGGCGGAGCCTGTTCTTGCTGCTACGGGGCTCCAGGATTGAGGGGAACCCCGAGAAACCCCGACTCACTGTCACAGTGGTGTCAGAAGTGGAATGCACTGCACCCCATGGATGGAGCTTCTAGCTGTGAGTGTCGAGGAGCAGTAGAGATAAGGGGCTTGCAAGAGCCAGACGTGCTGGAGACAGAGCGAAGTGATTCCTGGGAGTCATGGTGCACTGCAGCCTTCAGTTGGTGACTCTACACCCCGGGGATCAGTGGAGAGACGGCCTACTCCTGACTCCTGAAGGCAGACTTTGTGGGGTGGTGCAGAGAGAGGGGCCTGGCCGTGGGGAAAGCAACCAAGGCCCAGTTGATTGCCCGGCTGGAAGAGAATGACCAGTCCAGGGGCCTGGACCCTGTCCTAGCAGGGAACAGCCAGCCACCCCTTGGGAGCGTCTCAGGCACTCAGACCGGTCGGAGAGCTGGAGCCCACCAGAGAGACGCGGTGCTCATCAGGCCACGCTCTACCAGCAGCGGTTCGTCCAGGGCGGGGTCCATCCTGGCAGAGCTACAGCAGCAGGAGAGCGAGCTGCGGATGAAGGAATTGGAGGTACAGGATCAAGAGAAGGAACGCCAGCACTGAGAGAGGCAGCGGCAGCATGAGCTGGCTATGGCAGAGCAGAGAAGCCGAGGGGCCCCGGCTGCGGTGAGTGGGGTGGACCCCAGGGGCCCGGAATGGCCAGATGCTTGGAGACGCTCGTGTTGGCCCCATGTAAAAACATGGGGGACATGGACAGGTTCCTTAGCTCCTTTGACCGGGCCTGTGAACTGCACCAGATCCCCCGAGTGGACAGGCTGCAACAGCTCACCCCCTTGATAGATCAAGAGGCTGTAGGGGTGCTCAACCAGCTGGAGGATCTGCAGCTGAGTGATTACAAACGGGTCAAAGAGGCCCTGCTGTGCAAGTTCGGGCTTACCCCGGAAACATACAGGAAGAAGATCTGGGGTGTGCAGAAGGGGCCATGGGAAACCTATGTAGATATGGCCTCCCGCCTGGCACAATACTGCCACAAGTGAGTGTTTGGGGTCAGAGCCCAGACTGCAGAGGACCTGCTTAAGCTGATGGTGTTGGAACAGTTCTATGAAGCGTGCCCACCCAGCCTGAGGCTGTGGCTCCAGGACAGGAAGCCAGAGGACCCCCAGGAAGCCGTGGATGGTGGATGAGTTCACAGAGAGCCGGTCCGGGTGTGAACGGGAGTCCCAGAGAGAAAGGGAATTGCACAGAGACCGGTTCTTGGCTGAGCAACAGAGAGAATCACCTATGAGGCAAACCCAAGAGACAAGGACCAGCCATCTGCGCCCCGGTTCTCCTCTTCAGCTGTACGTCTACTCGACTTCAGTGGAGTGATTCTTCAGTTAACAGAAACAGCCAGGGACTGGGCGGAGCTGGCCCAAAATGGCCCACAGGTCTTCACTTGCTATCGCTGTGGGCAAGGATGCCACAAGAGGGCTCAGTTCACTTGGCCCCTGGACAGGTCCCACGACCTGATACTTTCCAGGATTAACTGGCTGCAGCTAGGGGAAGGGCAGGCTGCCTCAGAGGCAGGGGTTGGCAGGCAAACCTCAGCTCAGAGTGGGGGGAAGGATGCTCATCTCACCTCCCCTGGGAGATCTGATCCTCTGGAGGTGGATTTCTCCATGTACCAGGTGGGGGCAGGGAGGCCCCTGAGGAGTGAGTACATGTCCCTGGAGGTGAATGGTAGGGAGGTTGATGAGCTACTGGGACACGGGTGCGGAGGTGATGCTGGCCTGGCCCGACGTAGTAGCCCCAGACCATATGATACCTAACACTCAGCTGACCCTGAGGGGCATAGACAGAACCCCATTTAAGGTACCCATAGCCTGGGTGCATCTGAAATGGGGGGCCAAGGAGGGCCCCAAAGAAGTGGGGGTGCACCAGCACTTTCCCATGGAGATGCTGATGGGGGGGGGTGACCTAGAGGAGTTGCCAGACAGACCCCATAGGGTCCCGGTCACTATCTGTAGCCAGAGCCAGCAAGGGGCTGGTGACCCTGACCCAAGGGAGGGCTCCCTGTAGGGAGCGCAGGGCCCCATCCCAGCAGACATGGAGCCCGGCCAGGCTGGGACTTGGAACCTAGGTAGGTGGGGAAGCAGGTCCCTGTCCCTGCCCCAGATGCCGAATTCCAGGCGGAAGTGCAGGCAGATCCCTCCTTGCAGATGCTGAGGGGCCAGGCTAGCCTTGGCGCAGCTCACCCCTGGGGAAAGGATGCCAGGAGAGAGTCCTGTGGGAGAGGGGATTCCTGTACCGGGAATGGCTCACCCCCGGGAAGGTGGAGGCATGGGGGGGGGGGGGGGGGCAAAGATTCCTGTACCGTGAATGGCTTCCTGCCAGAAAGGGGGGTATGGGAGCTCCAGTGGCAGCTGGTAGTTCCCCAAAAGTATCGCCACAAACTGCTGTATCTGGCCCATGATGTCCCATTTGCAGGGCACCTGGGTATCTGGTGCACCCAGCTGATGCTGCTCCAAAACTTCTACTGGCCAGGGATATTTGCGGCTGTGAAGAGGTATTGCCGGTCCTGCGACGCCTGCCAGAGGGTGGGGAAGGC